TGAATTGAGTTTAGTTGTGAATTCCATCCTTGAAATCTTGACACAACTACAACAGGCTGAAAGGGAATTAGAATCATGGAACAAGAGGTGTTACGTCCTGTCAGAAAGAAAATGTAACAGAAGATAGTGTTTTGTGGCAGTCATAGTCTGGTTGGTTGGTTGGGTGTTTTTGTAGGTTCAGGGATGAATTTTAACATTAAGATTATTTGTACTGAGAAGAATAAGCATGTTTTTGTTTTAAGATATATTACTTGTACTAAACTATTTTCATAGCTATTTTTTTTGTCAGAAAGGATGATGTTTCCCCATTTGTAATGTCCATGTTAGCCTTTCTTTCCCGTGCAATATAGATCCTGAGCACAGACCAAAAAGGTTAATCTTATTTCCTTGTAAAATGACCCCTGGAGATGCAGTGGCAATTTCCTCTCAAAGGCCACGCAAAAATCCCACTGACATCAATTTAGTTAGAGTTTACTGCCGATGGCCATGCTGATAGTGCTGGCTTTGTATTGGCAAGCACAGCACGGAGTGGAGTGTGCCAACTTTCCTCAGTCTCCAGTGGGAATGAGCAAGGATGTTCTTCGATGACTTCGTTCCGTTTTCATTAAAGATTTTTTTGTGTGTGTGGTTTTGGTTTTGGGGGGGGGCTGTGGGGAATGTGGGTTGGTTTGGGGTTGGTTTGTTGTTTTTTTTTCCAACAGGATGCGTATGCTGCAGTTAGTGCTATCGTTGAATTGCCCAGCTCGGTTACTGTTGGCAGAATTTTAGCAGCATGGAGCCCAGCACGGCTGGTATTGATCCAGTGGGTTTGCTGGCAAACTGAGTTTTGTGCTGCCCCTGCTGCACTTTCTGTGTTGGGAACTAGTCTCGAGTAGATCAATGACCGTAATACAAGTGTACTTCTAAGGCTTCTGCATCCTGATAGAAGGATCTCTGCTGGTCTTGTGTTTGTGAGGAAGCAGGAGAAATGGGTGGTTGTGTTTTCTGTACATTTTGGCTTCTAGTTTTACATCTTTGTTCTGTATTCTAGGCATCTAGCTGGGAGTATAGACAAGATTTGCCTGGCTGCATCTCAAACCTGCCAAGACAAAGATGACATTTGACTTTTGATTACTTTTTAGTTTCCTGTTTTCTTGAGGAGAGTATCATTTGTGTGTTAATGTTGTGAACTAGCACTCTCTGACAATGTGAAGCTGGGATCATACCTTTGCATATATTGATGCTTTTGAAATAACAATTCGTGTCACAATGGGGGAATATGCAACAGAAAAAGTGGCTGTGACACTGAAGAATAAACATGTTACAAACTCTCGGTGTTTAGATGAGCTCTTTGTTATCTTAAGGTGTTACCACCAGGCTAGTCAGGGGAATACGTGTACTGGGTTTTTGGGTACTTGTGATCCATGTACCTCAGCTGCATTGTTGACTGCTGTACCTTGCAGAAATGCAGTAAGGCATTGGTGTGTGTAGGTGGTCAAGAACTTGATTTAAATGATCATTACACTGTTGGGAACATAGTGCCTGCACCTCATTAACCAGCAAGCGAAATTGCCCTTAGTACAAGCAAGGTTAAAGAAAAAGCAAAGGAGAATGCTTATTTAAAGAAATCAAACTAGATGACATAGCTGTGAAGATTTTAGAAGAGGTACAGAGGTGTAAGAATCCATTCTTAATAAGTTTATTCTGAAATGAAACTATCTTTTTCCTTCCTTGCATTTGCAGTTGATAAGCCACAGACCTCACACGTGAGGCTGTAAAGTAGGTCCTCTGCCTCTCTAGAATTAGTGTCCACAGGGGAGATTCCTTTGGGGACAGCATGACAGATTCTCTGTTCATTGCTTTTCTAGGTACCTCCCAATTCTACTTAGATCTGCTCTCCCAAAGACTGGTAAGTGATTCAGGATGTAGTTGTAGAATTATTGACTGCCCTAGACTTCTTGGAATACTTACACGCCATTGTAATAGTTTGCTACATTGTTAGCAAATGGTAAGCTATTTAAAAAGCTATTAATATTTTTCCCACTTGCAAAGGCTATGAACAATTCACAGGGTAAAGCTGTTTCATATGAACAGTAAACCAAGAATCATATAAATGTTTAAGTCGAATTACTGTGTTACTGACTCTAGCCTGAGATCAGGCAGAACTGTAATCAACCACTTTGAGTGATAGTGGGCTGGAGTGACTAAACTCCAGTTTTATCTTTGAGGAACATTGTGACAAATGTTTGGAGTTTTCACAACCCAAACAGATGAGATGAATTGCAGGGCTCAAACATTTTATGTATTTCTTTTTAAATAAGCAAAAAAATAATATGATAAAGGATATTCAACTTTCATAAAAGTTTACTTAGTCTTCATTACCACACCTCGTTACCAAAGTATCTGAAAGAAGCTGAACATCTGGAGACTGTATACTTGGCAGGTATACTGTTTGAACAAAAAAGCCCCACAATATTAGGGGGAGGTGGAACTGTTGAGGAGAGTCAGAGGCACTTTTGCACGTGGACTGTGCAGAGGGAGGGAGGTTGTGGATGTTGGGAGAAGTCTGTGTCCATCACGTCAGGTCTACAACTCCTAGATTCTGTCTTTTGTTGTATTTTGTATTTCTAGAAATACCCTACAGCTTCATTCTCTAAAATCCCGTGAGACAGACAAAGCCAGTCAGAAAGTTTCACGAACAGGGAAGAATTCACAGCACTGTCTTATTTTGTCTAGAAGGGTGCTGCATTCAAATTAACCCTCCTAGAGCAAACATTCTTTGGCAAAACCTCAGGGTCCTATCCTCAGAAAAGAGTCCTCCAAAAGGTAGCAGGGTGGAACTTCAGACCTTTTCACGTTTTCACACCAAATATATCTTCAGAAGACATTAAGCACCCCCTTCAGTCTTTCTAGATGAGAAATTTTCAAGTCCGCTCAGGGTATGGGCTCCATGAAGAGTGATTTAGGGGACGTCATTTCTCTTTTGGGCACTGCATGACAACATAATGAAAACTCAGAAATTTCTGCAGGTTTTCACAAACACCTTATCCTAGGTGTCTTATTCTAAGAGCAGTTACTGGAAGTGCATTTACAGAGGAGAAACTCTTAAAAACCACTTGGGCTTTTGTAGTCATTAAAGCATGAGAAATGTACAGTAAACCGAGGGTATGTCTGTATGTGGTTTGTGTGTGTTTTATGGCGAGTCCTGCAGTTCCTCCTACTGTCCGAATCAGGAAATGGGTTGAAAAGCACCGTACTCCCTTCACCTACATCTCCTCTGCAGTGAGAGCCTGTTTGGGTTTTGTCCCAAACAATTTTGCCGTGCCATGCTCCCAGGCGTAGGAGCAGGGACTGGTACACTGCTCCTGGATGAATACCCATCGGCTTTCCATATGAAAGTCATGTGTTTTTAGAGCAAAATCTGTGAGAAGAATTTGCGAGGTTGTTTAAATTCTACACTAAGCCATTTTTGAATTTTGAGTGCTGCAACAGTTTGATAGTTTGCCAAAAAAAAAAAAACAACCCCCCCAAAAAAGGAGTTGTCATGTTAGTTCTTAAAAGCATGCTCAGCTAGTTTTTTTCAAAGAGATTTATTTCCTTAAAATAGCATTTTCCTACTAAAACTGCCTGCTGGGCAGAGCTATCTGACAGGCACGTAGAATTATCAGCATGTTTACTTTTCAAACATCTCTGCCACACTCGCACAGTTCTGCTGTGGTATCAAACATACACGAGTGATGAAATAGGTTTTGTAAGAGTTTGTGTACTAAGATATAAAAAATTAAAATGTGTTACAGCATTGAAAGTGCACTAACATTTCTATCCCAAACTTGTCAAAGCAGCGTCCTTACACCAAGGCAAAGCATTTTCTTTAACTGGAGCATCCCTTTTTGGAATTTATCTGCAACTATAAGGAAAGTCACATTCCCATCAGCACCAATTATACTTCTTGTGTTGTCTGAAAGATACAGAAGCTCCTTTACAGCTTCTGCAATTTCTGGTGCACTTAGGAAAGGATGTAGGCAGAGGTTTGGATGTCGTCAATGTACTATCCATGTACTGTTGGTTTTGTCTGTGATATCTTAGAAACAAAAGCAAGGATTTCTAGTGGAGCCTGACTCTGAAGAAAGGTTTTGGATTGCATTGGGATGAAAGTAAGGGAATAAAGGGACAAGTTCCCTGGTAATTTTTTGCAGAATCATTATCATTCTGCTACCACAGCTCTTTACAAACAGAGGAACTTAGCAAAAAACCCCAACATTTCCTTGTTCAAAATAAGATTAAGGAAGTGAGATAAATTTATGAAGTATCCATGGCACTGCTTTGGATTTCTTTTATAAAGCTTGTGACTTGGCTTTTAAGTCGATGAAGACATTGAGACACAAAATGAATTCTCTGAGGCTGCTAGCGCTGCAAGGCTATATAATCACTCTGGGATTGCCAAAGATATTTTTTTTTTTTTGGTAGATTTGTGTCACTTTCACTCCCACACATCTGGCAAGAGACCTCTCTGCACTGGCTTAGTTGAAAATCTTATCTCATAGATCATTACTAGCAATAAATTCCAGCCTTTGTGCTTACTTATATTGTCCCACAGCCTGGAGTCACTGATTTTGTGGAACTAGGAATTTGAGCTGTAAAATATTTACTCACTAACACACACTAAAAAAAAAAAAAAAGCCTCAAAACCAACCCTCTTTCATTGTGAAGCCAGCTCAGAAAATGTAAATCATATCAAACTGACTGTCAGGGCCAAAGAAAACAGGCAGCTGGATTCCATCCCTTTAGCTAAGAATCAGCCCTTAAATACCTCTTAAATATACACTTTATACGAGCTGTAGTCAAACTCATTTTAAAGTAATGTTTTCCCACGTGTCCTAGAGAACGTGAGCAGAACTCTCTGCATGTGGATGTGACATGGGCACTGACAACGGGTAACCGTGCCAAAAACCTGTTCGCAAGCATCACTGCAAACTCCTAATGAAGTTCTACCACCATTCTTCTCTAAGGTCACACCTAACACTAAAAAGAGAGTTGTGTTTTTCATCCGTGACGCAGTCCTTAAATCCAGCGAAGGCAGCTGCAGTCAAAGCAGTTGTCAGCAAATGGTCTGTGTGAGGTGTTTTCCCTGTGCTAGTTGACGTTAGTCAATGAGTGTTTTTCTGGTATTGCATCCTGGAAACATTCTTATTTATGGTATTTATTATGCTCTTCCTTTTCTAGATGACAGGCATGGGAAGCACAAAGGCAGAGTTGTCTCATACATTGAAGACTTCACAACTAGTAATGAAACAGACTGGAAAGAGAAGGCAAGACTAATGAGGGGAGATAATGATGGGCATAGATGCAGCTATCTCTGCAGGGTAAATTAAATAATTTGCTGGGCAGGGAGCAAAGGGACAATTCCTAGAACTAAACCCAGATCTCCAGTTTAGTGACCTCACTCCTGGAATAGCATTAATGAGCAGAATCAGAGTTAGGAATGACCAGCAAGTGTTGCTGAGTAGTGGATGCATTCTCTAGGTGTGGGGAGATATGGTATGGAGACACCTGAGATGCAGTGTTCTCTAATAACCCTCCATTCCCAATCATCAGATTTCAGAGAAAAAAAAATGGCAACTGGCAGATAATAAAACCAGAATATTTTCCAAGAGTCCCAGTAATCATTCTTGAATAATTTACCTCAGCAAAAACAAGGCAGAATAAACAATCAGGGTATAACAAACTTGAAATACATTCCCCTGTTGTTTTCGTGGGACAAATTAACAATGTTTTGACTCTGCATAGTGTTGCATAACATGAAACATAGTAGTTTTAACCAAAGTACCGGGATAATCCAGGAACAAGCTGTAACTTAGTTTTTGGCATTTTTATTTTCAGTTTCCCAAGTGAATAGTAGTGAGTGTGTGGAAGTGGTTTCTAATCAATCCTGATGCGTATCCACGTACCCTGCCATCTACAATGAGGTTAGTGCCTTATAGCTGCTGCGGGAAGCTTAACTCACTTTCATTGACTTCAGGAGGATTAAGTCAGAAACAATACTATTTTAATGCCATTTTTTGTATTTACTTGGCAAATACTCCTGTCAATTTAAAGTTTCCCATGGGAGGTGTCAAGAGGTCACTGAAATTTTCCTGGGCAAGGGAGGGAGAGGGGTTGAAACCTTGGCCTCCCTGCTGCTTCCTTCAGTGTTTTTCTTCATGTCATTAGTGCTGTACTCGGCACTTTTCCCCCAGCTTCCATTAGGAGAGGGAGTGAGTGCATGTACAAATGTTAGTGAGAAATGGAGGGAAGAAACACAGAGAAGGCTTCCCTGCTGTTTTATTTGGCTAATTCTAGGCCTCGGTAACAGTAAACTTAGTCACAGAAAGTGAGTATAGAATATATTGTCTACTATACACAAAAAACTGCCAAGATGCTTTCAGCACATTTTTTTTCCCCAGTTCATTCTATTATTCTACACAGTCTTCGGTCCAAGGATCACAAAGCCTTTTGACCTCTCTGCTATCCTATGGCAAGGAAATACAGTTCCCTAAGGCTGAAAAAGCATCAGGGTTTGATTTCCAGAAATGAGGTACCTGCAATTTTCATGAATATCAGTGTAACTGTAAATGAGCAGCATATTTTTCAGTCACCACTAAGGCAGACAGAAATGCAGAATGGAGGGGCAGGAGAGACACCCCACATCTTACAGGCTCTGTCTGCAAAGCTTCTGAACTTTAGCTGGAAATACCTGCATTAGAGCTAGTGACTGTAGGAAGGGATGCGACCTGTTTCATCCTATGGATTAGTGTGATCCCTCTAACGAGCCCCCGGGGTTTATCATATGATAAAGCAGGCAATTTCACAATTACTAGATTTTTTAAACTATTTCAGTTATATATTTCTCACCTTTTTAACTGCTATAAGGCAGAATAAAACACTAGTGAGGACTTCTGCCAGGAAGTGAAAACAAAAATAGTGTTATGTAAGTGCATTACAACTTGATTAATGCAGGATAAACATTATACCCTACACAGCTTTTGCTCCTCAGCAGGCCTATTTCACATTATGTGTTCATGCATAAATTTCTCTTACTAACACCGCACAAGCAGGTCTTGCACCATCCTTGAGAGATGAGCTTTAGGAACTGTTACAACGTGGTTTAAGTTATAGCTCCATCTGTTACACCCCTTCCTTCTGATGGCGACTGCTTTCACTGTGGCAGAATAGCAGAATGGAAGATGTGCTCAAATCCTCGCTGTGTGAGCTGATGCAGGCAGGACACAGGAGCAACCACAAAACCAGGGATTAAGGGCAAAGAACAGATTTGGATCAGGGAACCTCTGGAGCAGCACCTGGGCAGAGGCAGGCAAGTAGGGGATGCAGGCACCATGGAGTGAGAGTCCTTTCTAGCAAGAGAGTCCTCATTAGCAAGGGAGCGAGAGAGCTCCCACTTGCTGTTTGGGCCTGTATTTCAAGGATTCTGGCAGGCAGAGTTTTCTGCTGGGCTTTGATCCTTTAAACAGCCGGGCAAGAATGTCAGGCCTGTTTGATAAGGTGCCCCTGAGTCCATCCCAGGACTATGTTATCTAAATGCAGATGTTCTGCTTGTTGAGCACACAAAGCTAAGCAACGATAGTGTAATATATGTGTTTTCCAGCACCCCACATGCGAGTCACTTGGGCGTATTTACAGTCCTCCTCACCAATCTTCTGTTACTTTCCCACACTCACCAACTGCAGCTCCAAGTCTGGTGACGTGGCTCAGACCTGTCTTTGCAGCAGTTTTATCAACGCTCCCGTGCATTGTGCTGAAGCCTGAGGGTGGGCACGTGTTTCATTCTACTGGAGCCAAGAACAGGAGCATCTTAATCACAGTAGGATTTGACTCAAGCTTTCTTTAAGTTTTACTGGGAGGAGGGAGGTCTTATGACTGCGGTCATCCACACTCCAGTATTGCATGTAGACAGGACATGGACCTGTTGGAACGGGTCCAGAGGAGGGCCACAAAAATTATCAGAGGGCTGGAGTACCTCTCCTGTGAAGACAGGCTGAGAGAGTTGGGGTTGTTCAGTCTGGAGAAGAGAAGACTCCAGGGAGACCTTAGAGCAGTCTTCTAGTGCCTGAAGGGGGCCTACAGGAGATGTGGGGAGGGACTCTTTGTCAGGGAGTGGAGCGGTAGGATGAGGGGAAACAGTTTTAAACTGAAAGAGGGGAGATTTAGATTAGGTACTAGAAAGAAATTCTTCACTGTGAGGGTGGTGAAGCACTGGAACAGGTTGCCCAGAGAAGCTGTGGATGCCCCATCCCTGGAAGTGTTCAAGGCCAGGCTGGATGGGGCTTTGAGCAACCTGCTCTAGTGGGAGGTGTCCCTGCCTATGGCAGGGGGGTTGGAACTCGATGGTATTTAAGGTCCCATCCAACCAGAACTATTCTATGATTCTATGATTCTATATATGGCTAGATACTGGTATTTATGGTGGAAAAATCCACCTGTTACTGATCTGAGCAGTTACTGTAATATCACTGCACAGTGAGCAAAGGTCACAGGCCAGGATTGAACTGTGCTCCTTTTCCCAGCTGGCAACACTTAACCCCACTGCCTGTTAGAGTCAGAACTTGCTGGAGTTTCTTCCTGGACAAAGAAGATTGCCCAATGTAGAGAAAACAATAGCGGTCGTCTGAGGAAAGGAGGCCCTGCAGTGAATTAAGCCAACGCAGCCAGTTAAATTATTCAGGGCCCTGTGATCATTAACTGATGTACTAAAGTCCACGGTGGAACAGGATATACAATTCAGTGCAGTCGGGCTTTTCAACAGCTGAAAAGAAATGCTATGTTATTAATAGCTAAAAATCTCATTAGAGTTGTTTTCCTGCTGTGGAAATAATTCTCCATGTAAATTTACTAACAGTAAAATTCAGATCTACTAAATAAGGCTTTAAAACTGTTAAGCATGAAAAACTAAAAAATATTACTGTTTCTTAGAATTAAAAAGGCATAAAAGTATGTCCAGCGTTAAGTCCAAATTTGCTCTAGTGAGGAACTCAACTGCCATGATAATCTTCTTCACTTTTTGATTTTTCACTTACACAGTTTGAAGAACAAGACTAAAATACTCCAAGCTGCCATGTCAGTTATCAAAACTCACATCAGTGGGAAAGGATCAGCTGAGAGTGCTACAAGAATGGTAAATAAGATGCATTTTATTACTTTTAGATTTTTATGGAGGGTTATTACAGCTTAACACGGAGGAAGAAACGAGTTGTAGAGGAAGTACAAGAGCTCCAGTGGTTTACAGGAAGGAGAGTGACTGACCCTTCAAGCAGTGGTCATGCTGGTGTAGCTCCGCGGTAGGTGGAGCTCAGCTCATTACTTAAAGACATCTCAGGTTTTCTGTCTTTTCTATATCCCCATCAGAGCACTCACTTCTTCAGAAAAAGGCTACTACCTTACTTTTGCAAAACTACTCTGATAACATTTAAAATAGTTATAGCAGCAATAAGACAAGCAGCAATGAGAGCTCCTGACTGCTGATGGGGAAGGCGATGGAAGGAAAAAAGTAGCGTCCCTGAAGCACTGTTTGAGATCTAAAATTTTATTAAGAGAGCTAGAACTGCCGAGTTTTTGCCTAAAGTTTGAATCGGGGGATGTTTTATCCTACATTGGTGATACAGCAGAAATGCACACTTCATCCCTTCCCCTAGAGAAGAGATGACTGTCAGGACTGTCTGTGGGACACAGCCAAGGGAGGGCACGTCAAGGACCTGAGTACGGTTCCGTTCTCGGTAGAGCGTGTCTGCAGCAGCTCCAGCCCTGGTGCTATTTGCAACTGAGCTGTGCTTTCTCCTGGCTGACTGTGGTCCCCAAGGGGACATCCATCAGCCAAGCAGAAGTGACTCATGCAAGGCCCCAGCCTCACGCTCCATACAGTCGGCCTCAGGGATGGCTCACAGAACTGTCACAGCCGCCCTGAAACTGAGGCAGCGCCACCCCACTGGAGTTTTCCCCACTCTGTATCCCCGCCTGGTTTTGGCTTTTGTTGTGCAGCTGATGTGAAAAAACTCTCCAGGTATTTGGCTCTGTGAGTTTCTAAACTATATCGTTAAAAGGAGAGTGAACAGAATTAGCTAAATCCCATCTTAGTTTAAAAATGACTGGGAAACAAAATTTGGAAGAGTGCACGAGATCAGGGGTGCTCAAGGCAAGGAATTCAGCTGGAGCGGCTGAACTCCTATAGATGTGTCTCACAAGTAACTACCAATTAATACATCTTTATGGAAGCAGTTCAATTAAGGTTTTAGTTGCTGAAGAAGTGTTTTTAAGACTCTTGCACAAGCCAACCGTTAAAAGCGCTACTATTTGAATTGATGAAATCATCAGCTCAGCTGGAAAACATCAACTTGGAAATGCATTTGAAGTGTGTATTGCATTAACACACAAATTTAATTTAAAAGAAGAAGCTGTTTATGGCTTTTAAAGCTAGTACTTAAACTCTGCAGATTGCTCCATCTAAACTGCTATGAGAAAAATGGCAAACAAGAAATGCTGTAGGAACAGTAACGATTGGTTTTTATTGTATGCTCAATTTTAGTCTACACGGCTCCTGAATGAAAAATTGTTAAAATAAGGTTTGAGAAAGCACACAGTTTTGGGGGGGGAGAAAAACGTTTTAAAGGCTTGAAAAAAATATCAAAATTCCATCTTTGGTTTGTCACAGTTAATAAAGTTAAGAGGAGCCTTAGCTTCACTGGAGCCTCGAGGAGGTGCTTTCAGTGGAGCGCAATGGGCTGCAATGGGGGCTTCTCCCCGCTGCGAACGGCGGCACCCGCTGAGGCGGGGGTCGCCCCCCGGCGGAGCGGTTCCGCTGCCCCCGGCCCCCGCCTGCCCCGGGCCCCGCCGCATCTCCCGCCGGCCCCGCCGCCGTTATGCTGCCACCTGGCGGCTGCAGGGCGGCACCGCCGCCTCCTGACAGAGCCGGGCTGGATACCCTACAGCCTTTCTTAAGAGCTCACGGTTCAACCCCGAGTTGAGGACCCTTATAAAAATATTTTGTAAGTTTTCAACGGATTCAAGCAAGGTTGCAAAGCTTTAGAACAAAAGGGTTAGGGGAGAATCCTAGAATCGGCTAGTTGGAAGGGACCTTTAAGATCGAGTCCAACCATCAACCTAACGCTGCCAAAACCACCGCTAAACCATGTCCCTCAGCACCACATCTACCCGTCTTCTAAATACCTCCAGGGCTGGGGACTCACCCGCTTCCCTGGGCAGCCTGTTCCAGTGCTTGACAACCCTTTTGATGGAGAAATTTTTCATAATACCTGATCTAAACATCCCCTGGCATATTTTGAGGCCGTTTCTTCTTGTCCTATTGCTTATTACTTGGGAGAAGCAACTGACACCCCACCTCGCTACAGCCTCCTTTCAGGTAGTTGCAGAGAGCAATAAGGTCTCCCCCGACTCTCCTTTTCTCCAGGCTAAACAGCCCCAGTTCCCTCAGCCGCTCCTCACAAGACTTGTGCTCTAGACCCTTCCCCAACTTTCTTGCCCTTCTCTAGTTTGAATTAATATTTACGCACAAATCAAAGCGAGTGGGAGACAGAAGCACTAAAAACTGAAATAAGAATTATTGACAAATGCTCTAGGTGTCTATAAGAGCACAGAGAACCGTGTCAGGAATGTGGTACTCTGGAACTTAGTTTCAATCAGCCATTCACTTACCAGCCCACAGAAAGGTTACTCACCTGCTTCGGTTCATGTTGCCCAACCAGATAATACGCTTTTCTGAAGTACCTTCTGGCAGTAACTTCAAATATGCACTCAAAAGTTCCACAAACTGAAGAGCAAAAGGCTGTGTTCTTTGAAAAAGAATCTGGGCAGCCACGTGGGGGTAGGATTACTGATTCTTCTCAGCTCAAAGCAAAGCCAGGCAGCAGTGGAGGCTCCATCTTACTGCCCCAGGCCACCAGGACACGTTCTCTCCGGCTCTGTCTCCCTGCTGGGGTTTTACTCCTCTGTGTTGCTTTTCAAGGTGTACCTACAGCTGTAAAAGGCACAGTGAGCCAGGAGAGGCCGGTGTCATGGACTACAGTCACATCTACATGGCAGCACAAGGGACAGTAGAGGTTTGGGTTTTTTGGCCTTTGTTTTTTTGGGAGGGGTGTATGGGGGGGATTGTGTTTGTTTACATTTTGTTTTTCTTTTTAAAGATTCCTCATCTGACCTACAGTTGGCTTCAGGGGTCAAGCAGCCTGAGGAGAGGGATATAATGTGAAATAATTTACAGAGTATGCTTTGTGCCAAAGCCACCACCATTCTGTATTTGCTACTGGAATTACAACAGAAAATTCCTTATAGTGAAAGTAATATGAGCACAAGCCAAATGCTCAACTCGTTTCAGTAAGTTATTACATACAGACCAATAAATCATGCTGAAGTCACACTGTCCTCCCTGTCTTTATAGTGCACATTAGCTAGGGATTTAAAATTTCAGATAGAAGTATTTCTTTAGCAGAGAAACTTATTTACTGTGTCAATTTTAAATTAGCTCTTGAGGGATTTCAGGCATATCCAGTAGCGGTTGGCAGGTTTGAAGATTATTCCTGAAAAGCTGTGCACAATCTATGCATATTTTTCAAATCATTAATTGATGAAAAGCTCTATGTCTGTAAAGCTTGAAAGATACAGATTATGTCCATTTTTCTTAGCAGAAGCAAGGCAGCACGCTGCGTAAGGAATGACGACTCTCAATAACGCTATGATTTGAATTTAAAAAGAATTAGACACCCTCCACCCCTTAGTTTCAAGGCCGTATCACCTTAAGAACATCCAGAACCATACAGCGCAGAATAAACCACTGAGTGCATTTTCTTCTTTTCATATGGTTAATCTGTATTTTTTTAAAATTTAAAGGTTTTAGGTCCTCCCCCCAAAAGGTGGGCAAGGTATGATTTGAAAAGCAAACCTGCAAAGGGAAAATAATGCAGACTCATTCTTTAATAAAGTCTTTAGAGTGTAATTGGTAAATGTCATCAATGATGCAGTTTATGAGGATCATCTCTCCGAACAGATTATTCAGCAGCAAAAAAGCAATGGAAGAGAAGCCAAGTGAAAAGCCCCAACATTTACTGTGGGAAGTTTAAAGAAAAAAAAAAAAGGAGCAGCACTGACCAGAACCAGGACTGTGTCCAACAACGATCACATTTTCTCATCAGATGAAGCAAGAGGTGATTATCAAGTAAATAAGGATTTTAAAAAATTAACATATTAAAGGCATTTATGATTTTAAATTTTATTCTCATTGCAGATTCCCAGGATACAGCTGAAATAGAGTAAGTTTGGTCAACCCTTTAAGAACTGGATGCGTTTAAAAAAAATTAACACTTTTCAGTGGGCAAAACTTTAATAACAACACCATAAAACAATTATACAAAAATCATGTACATATTTTGACGGTTCTAAATAATACATATATATATACTTGATTTAATTTGTGGAGAAGTAACTTTTGACAGTTGGAGATTGTGACTGGCTGTAGTTGAAAAAAAAAAAAAAAAAGATCTATTTTTCTCCAATAGGGCAGTTGGAAGTTGGACAACTCATCAGATTCATAACAAGAGAGTTACTGGATGGGTAGGCCAATAAAGCTGTTCCAGAGATGACTGGAAAACAGCAGTGTACCTCATATCTCTCCTGCACAGTACCGCTTTGACAGGAGGAACTGGGAAAGGGGGGTCAGAAGACCTGGTTTTTTTTCCTTCCCAAGTGCTGGAAATCAAGCTACAAACATGAGCCAAAAGATGAGGGGTTATCACATAGCACTTGTGTCTCCAATATTTCATTTTCCCCCATGGCTGCTGGAGCCGTGAGTGTTAATGGTAAGAATTTAAAAACAAACTGGCAAGACCCCACTCCTTTCAATTCAACAGCATCCTATGTGATCATTGGCAGGATTACAAAATTCAAAAGAACTTGGGATTTTGGGAAGAGGAAGAAAAATATTGGGAAAGAAGTATTTAGCTCCAAATGAGTTTTACAATCTCAAAACCCCCCCAGACATTTCAATGACGACTGAAGTACCAGTTTGCCTTGATTTAGAAAAACTGTTAAGATATTTCAGATGACACTGGTTAAAAACTGACAGAAGCCTTCAGCTTCAAAACACAGTAGTTTTTTTAGTAAGAAAAAAAAGCAAAATACTCAAACTGGACTACTAGATTAAGATGCCATCAAAATACAACCACGAAGGTCAATAAATATGAAGTAATTTCTTTATGTACTTGTAAAGAGAGGCTACTTGAAGTATGTGAGTGACCAGCTAGACATGGGTACTGCCACAACACAGTAATGCTTCCAGTTGCTTAACCAGACCAGCCAACTGTTCATATGGCAGAAACTCATGTTTTAAATTAGAGGTCTCAGGTGTTGGTTTTTTTTTTTTTTTTAAATCAGAGTATCTACAGGTATTTCTTCCTATATTTCTTTTGGAATTTGAGAGATTACAGGTTTGGGGTGGGGTTTTGGTTTGTTTGTTTTGTTGTTTTGGGGTTTTGTTCTGTTTTTTAAATTTTGGGCATCTAATATTGAATGAATACGTATGCAAGTACACACAAGAGACGTGTAAGGTATCTCAGTTTTAAAAGGCATGGTTTTCCTCTTTCATACAATCAACATTTTTTGAAGTCTTGCTTCTCCTGGCCCATGTTACATTCTCCACTACAATTTGTTACTCAGCTGCAGACTTCAAACACCGATACGTGGTACGGCATTAAGGGATTTCCTGAGTCTGGTTTATTCATCATTATCTGTAAAAAAGCAAGAGAGGGGGAAGACACAGTGAAAAGGAGTGACAAACACACACAAAAATCAAACTGAGGTTACAAAAACTACAAACCACAGTTCAGGTAGCAATAATACAAGAGTCACCAATGGAGTGGCTGTTACCAAAGCTGTCTTGAAAGCACTGTGTGTACAAATATTGAACACCACGTCGTCCTTCTTGGATTCGTGAATTTAAGATAGAAGCAGCCACTTGAGATGAAACTGTTAGAACAATTCTCTTAAAAAGCTATATAGAATTTTTTCTTTTCTTATTTGAGGAGTATAAAATTTGAGATAGAAGCTCATGAACACTCTTCTGTCACTTGTCCTCTATTCACCTTTATTAGCTTAGGATTTTTTCTTTAAGTGTCTGAAAGTTAAAGAACTATTTAAAATGTAGTTCTTTAGATACTGTAGTACTAAAGTACCACACATGTACTTTAAATGTCTGAAGTGTAAAGAACTACTTTTTCTTTACATTTTTGTACGCTACCACAGATTGGTAAAATACAGAATTAGAACTGAAGCTATTCAGCCAGTTGTTAATCAGCATGTTGCAAGATGAAAGTCAGCTCATTTAAACAGGATTCACTCAGACAACAGCTTACACTTTGTACACCAACATTTCAGCAAATTGTCATTGAAGCCTTTTAGTACTAGTTTTAAATATCCTTAAGGCCAAGTGTCAAGGAAAAGGAACTGGTAACACGATAGTTACCATTTTCTTCTATATTGCCAGTCCTTTGGACACTTGAAAAGTAAAATACTACAACACATCTCTCCAGTTCTGTCATTAAACCAATAAATTGTGATTGAAAAAATATTGTTCGGACACTTTTCTGTTATACTTCTATGACACAGAATGAAAACACCACAGTCCTGGTTATTCTTACTGAGTGGTTCTGTATCAGTAGCAAAGAAAAATTCAGAAAGTGTAATTTGTATTAGATTTTTTTTTAAGGTATTATACATTTAAAACTAGTTTTTAAGACTTTCCCCCCACCCAAGCATTTACATATAAAAACCATGGAAAGCTATAATCTTATTTGACACTTTATTCACTGTTATTGCAATGTATTTGTAAAATAATTTAAAAGATGAAGAAATTAGATGTTGCCTAACATGTATTAGAATATTTTTTTCAAAATTGAAGTACATTAGATAATGATCATCGCATTCATTTCTAGATTTCAAATTTCTATAAAAATAATTGAGATCCTAGATTTCTTTTATTTTTTTCCTCTCCAGTAAAGACTTAAATCATTAGAAATCTAAAATCCCATAACTGCAGTTACATTTTTGAACATGAGAGAAAAAAAAAACCAAAGTAATTTCTTATTGATAGTGGTTTGTGTGGTATTTCATAGATCTACAAACTCAAAGATCTATGAACCATCTGTTTGCCTGGTAACGTGTGCTGAGCCAGGCGGGGCTCCCAAGCAAGATAAAACCTCTTCATATATTACTGAGCCACCTGAAAACTAGGATGGATGGTACCTCCACATCAAGTTCTTCTGAAAAATTACAATTACAGGATAAAGAGCCACATAAAATTATCTTTTCAGAAATGCATTGATGGAAAGAATCATATAAATTAGCTAAAAGATAAATTAGCTAAAAATTCATTTGTTCTTAAAATTTAATTACTTTTAATTCTGAAAGTCTTTTTCTAGACTTCCATCTTCCCAATTTGCATAACTGTTTTACAGAAATTAAATAAATATACTGCACCCTTCATAAGACAACTATTGTTACAGCTGCCTGTGTATGCACAAGCTGTTAAAACAGAGCAGTCAGCAGCCTTAACCAAAGTTTGTCACGTTTTGTCACAGGAATAAAAATACTCTTGGTGAAATAAAATATTTTTATCAATTTAGCCAATCCATGTAACAAAGCACAAGTATGTTTTAAAAGTATATTAGAATCTATTGTATAAGACTAAGAAAAAACACAAAGCCAAGCCATAACTGCCAGGACACAGTGGGATTACCTTCTTGGTAGGCTCCGTCTGCCATTACCAGGTGAAGTATTTTGGCATACAGGTGTTTGTGTTCATTTCCAAGAATAGTCTGAACTATGGTTGAACAAGTATCAATATTTTCGTCTTCATCTTCATGTATAGCCTGAAAGAAAGGACAATCCACATTGCCAAAATTAAAATGGGTCAGAATTAAATAGTTCAAATTTATTAAATGCAACGCATGGTTAAGCCCAAAGTTCTCCTCTTTAATCCACAGACATGGTATTTTCTGTGTTCATAAAGTAGCGTGTTGAAACAGAGTAAGAGACTAAAGAAATAAGCATTGATTCTAGTCACACAATGCAATTAGTTACTGGCACAGCGAACAGCCCTAGGTACATTTATCTTGTTTCTTAAAATATTTTCCACTTGAGGTTATTCCACAAACCTTTATTTTCTCATAAACTTCAATGAATTTATCAAAGCCTATTTCCTGCTCCAGGTTATATCTCAACTCTTCCAAGTGGCTGAAGATACTATCACATTCTTCACATTCACTGGCAATCTCTCCATCGCTATTATCTGTAAAGAAAGAAAACAACAGTAAAACCCCCTCAGTTTCCCTACATTCTTAATGTTGTTTCCATCCATGTCCCTAAACTTGATATCCACACAGACCTCCAAACATAATGAAGGTAAAGTAGGTAAATTATGTAGGTAAATTTAGGTAAATGTAGGTAAATTACATGATGTAGGTAAACTCAGGACCACTATATGATGCTGGCAGATGTTTTGAACAACCTGCAAGGAAACAGGGACAGTCCGTTTCTTGACAGCAAAGAAATTCTGCATCCCAAATGGGAAGCATCTAGCTATCTCCTCTGAAACCCCACTCTGACAGTCAGCCATGAGGGTACTCGTACTGAAGGAAGACAAGGTATGGCCTGAAAGCAGGCTTTTATTTACCAAAGCAACGCTCCACATCACCATTCCACATATTGCTGAGGTGGAACTGATGCAGGGTTCAGTGGCTGTCCCACGCTAGGGACAAGAGCTCCTTAACACAGCAGCTGCCTTCTAGCAGAAAATAAGGAGATGTATATTAAGAATCAGTTATTTAATTTCTGCACTGAGATGTGTCTTGTTCCATGGAGCAAGTCTAGAAAGCCCAGCACTAATTCAACTATAAAGTTCTTCCTTCTTTTCTGAGTGCATCTCCTTTGCACAGCAAATTCAGTGTGCCAATTGGTGCAACAAGATACACGACAGAAGTGAAGGTGGTTTTGCTTATAGGCTACAGAAATCTTACAGATCTGTTTGGAACAGTCAACCATTAGGCAAGATTAAAAAAAAAAAGGGATCTATGTAAAAATACAAGACACCATTCCTATGTAAAATCTTACTACAAAATACAAACTGCTTTTGCCGTAAGAATAATACTTCCTTAAATAAACATTTGAATTATGAAAGGATTTACCTACCCAGAGAAAGAAAAAAAAATTACAACTTTTTAGATTTCAGAGCTTATATTATAAAATGTTTTTTAAAAATACGTAGTATTGTCTGATAGGTGACAGCTATTTCGTGAGTTAGTATTAAAACTCTACTACTTTCAGTTCCTATATGTGACTAAGTGTAAAGTATAATCCTGACCAAATCATATCCCTGATTCAAGTATCAACAGTCATATCAATAAGAAATTATTATCAAAATAAAAAGAAAATTTGTATATGGGTTAAAAACCCATTAGATGACTATACTTAACTCCTGGATCTTGGATAAATTTGGTTTCAGATTTTCTCTGTTGCCCTGAGTTTTGAAGGCCTCCCTCCCACCCCCAGTGATGCAACCTGCAATTCTTCCAAGATACCATGAATCTCAAGAAGTTGGACACTGACATCAAGTGCTGCAACGCTTGCAACAACAGTCACAGGAACAGACAGTATTGTATATTGTTAGTGTATAACATCAGCATTGTCAAAAAAGTGAAAGAAGATGCTATTACCTATGTTTATTTTACCTTAAGATACTTACTGAAATGTATTATATAGAAAATACCTTACAGGAATACTCACAGATTTTCAATGTGTTCAAAGTTGTCTTCAATAAACAAAAATTACACTAATCTATGTTTCAGACTATTGATTCTATCCATTTTTTTTTATACTGTATTTTACAGCACTAATAAAATACTTATATTTCAACCAGAATTTAAATAATAGAACCAAGACTTGAGGACACCAAGTCTGCATTAGACTGTTAGACTGCACCAATAGCTATTTTGGACTAAGGACAAGGTCAATAATTTCATGGTCCTTTTGGCTGCCCATTATTTACTTAATTGTAATGTAAGCTGGATCCCAGATACTCCAGTCATGTCAATTGATATTTCTTTTTCACTCTTACATTGCAGTCATGAATTATTCAAAACCTATGATGTGCACGGTCTTTGATCTTCCTTGCAAACAAGTCTTAGACAACTAGAGAAAAAGTGACTTAAAATCACTGCCTAACAAATAGCCAACATTTAATTTGCAGCATTGAATGTTGCTTAGATGTTGACCTTAACATTCAGAAAGTCTAAATAAAAAAAACTTCTGTATATAAGCTATTAATTAGAACTTTATTTTTTTAGAAGTATACAATAGAAAAACATTCTTCTGTGTTTGAATTGTTAACATCAATAAATAATTATAAAACAGGCATAACAGAAATTATACCTGACTGCCATTCTTCATTAAGTGCACTTTCACTGCTGGGGTTATTTTCATCTCCTTCCTCCAGCTCTGCACCATTTGTGATGCATCCAACAACATTAGCCTTTAAGGTAGACTCCTCCTCTTCACTGAATTCCTCACTGGGCTGCTCCCTAAGCAATTGCTCCATTGAGGCCCGGAGTTCCTGCAAATCTGTATCTGCCTCCCCAAACATACTGGAAGAAAGCAATATAAAGGTTATATAATTAATACTTTACAAGACAAACCCTGTGGGAAGAGCTCATTCCTTTTGTTAAATCAATAAAATACAGAGACAAATATTTGTGTCCTCAATCCAACAGGATTATGGCACTGATACCACTATATCACACAAGACAGAGGCAATAAAGATTAGCTAAGCAAATACCAGATGGTTTTGTAGAAAGATGATGACAGAACCTCTATTCAACTTAATTAGTAATAAAATTTCAAAATCTTTGTACTCGTGCACTATTATAGAACCCTGGCAAGCATAACATCCCTAATCCAGATTAAAACGTGTCTGGAGCAAAAAGAGATTTAAGTCTTATCAGAACAGATACACCAGATGATTCTATCCTTGCAGACTACGCAAGCTGCAGGGAATAGTCAAGAGCCAGATTTTGAAGCCCCTGAAAGAATTTGAGGGACTTGAAGGACATCCCAAAGTATAGAAGACAGATGAGTGAGATTCCCAGAACATATGAAGAAAAAAAATATTCTAGAAATCTTTATTTCTAGAAGAGTGGTAGCCATCAGCATCAGTGGAACGTGAGGCACAGAACCCAGACAGAATAACATCTTGGATGTAATTTGGAAAAGAAATTCAGACAGCAATTGTAAGCAGTACATCCCATTAGCTTCTCAGTTCTCTGGAACAAGACTCAGAGTAAATGGTGATTCAGTGCAGGATTTTTAAAACTTGGGTAAAACACCCATGCTGGTACACTGTGTACAATTGTTAGCATCTAACCAAAAATATTCCTGATCTAAGATGCCTGTTGAAATACTCGACAAACCCGATACACTCACATGTCCTCGGAATCAGAGGGTCCTTCTTTGGCTTGTTCGTCTTCCGTATCGTCTGTCTCAAGATTGTGCTGATGCTGCACGTCTGCTACGCTGGGAACATCAACCAAAGTCCTGTACAGTTTGTAAAGATCCGGGAGCGAACACGTTCTCAACATCTGCAAAGGTCATAGAAACCTCTGTGGTAACAGCACTAAAAGACAGTCCGAGGTTACCAAATACTTTCAGTTGAGATTATTTTTTTTTTTGGTCCTTTTTCATTTGAGGGTCAATTTCAAAATAACGAAGTGTCTAGCACAGACACTCTAGTTGTTGAAAATCTGACATCTTGAATTTGCCTCTCAGCTACAAGGAAATCATTCCTTCTGCCTTTATGGATTACAGTGATTGAAAAGCTTTTAAAACATCAGATGACACACAGATTCCAGTTTTGTGCAGATTTTGTATGTTACCTTGACAGCTATCTAAAGAAAAGCAACCTTACCATAGATAAATAATATATATTTATGCAATTGTTTACAATGTATGTATGACAATCACAGCTTAGCACCAATATTGAACATTTTTAAGGTGACATTTTATTATTTCTCTAGGTTGGTCACTGAAAACAGTAACTTTTGTTTATGGGATATTTCAAGACAGTTCCATAGTATTAGACAAGTTCATTACAAGGATTATTAGATTATTAATTACAACACTAACTAGTTGCAACGGAAACAAAGCAACGTGGAAACAAAGTAACCATTCCCTCAGCAATCTACTAGGTCTCTCTTTTAAGGAATCTAAGATTTCCCAAAAGTTATTAAATATTCACCACAGTATTAATAATACAAGAAACAAGACCTTATATACACTAAGAAGTCTTACCAATAAGCCTCACCTTCCTCCAGCACGCCTCTGGACACCTGCACGTTCAGTGTTTGCTCCTAATGAAACCCCGTAAATTTTAATAAAAAAGAAATAGTTCCTCCTCTGCAATTTGATACCAGCACAGTGTATTCATATACATGCCCAAATATAAAATCTTTGTCAACACATAGCCACAATACTGCTGCCAAAGGAACATCTTTTCCACCACCACCACCAAAGTGAAAGAACAGTTAGAAGACTGACTGCCCCATCATTTGAAAGCTTCCAGGTATTTTGAAAAATGCTTCTTTTCTAATTAGCTGACTTCTGTTAACACACAGACCTGCCTACACGTGGGACACTACCTCCATCTGCCCCGCTCCCTGCTGAAGGCTTCCTCAGTTTCTGGGTAGGAGCTGCAGCAGAGGCAGATTTGAGAGATTCCAGAAAGTTACATTTGCAGATACTGCAAAGTACTGAACTTCCTCTTGTTGCAACCAAATGAGGAAAGGGAATTTGTTGCTCTCTTTCATGAAGTCTACTGCAGCATAACAACACCACATCGGTTGCTTTTCTCCAAGTTCCCTGCTATTACACAGAGCTCATCTGGAACTATATTAACACTTTTGTGACAAACACTGCCAAATACACAGTAACAAGAGACATACTGAAGTGCTTTGCATTGATACACTGAAGAACTTCATCGTAACACACGTCCATTACTCTCTAAATCTGATAAAGGGTACAAAGCGTGTTCATCTTCCCTCTACTCACAAGTTTGCCTTTCTGTAATTATCATCCAATTGCCAGATAAGCAGCTTCATAAACTAGGGAAGTTAACAACAGACTAACTCGTGAGGAATCACAATTAGAGTCATGGATCCATTTATCTGAATATATGGATCTGTGAGAACAGATACAAGCTCGTCAAGACATCTTATTTTTCCAAAGATGCAAACAGCACAATCCCTGATATTATGCTTCCTAGCAATGCATCAATCACTAGATATTACCCAATATTCAATTATTCATCAGGTATAGCAATTTCTTTCATGCACTCAAAAAAGGCTGGGAGTAAAAGAAGAAACATTCCTTCTTATATGGCATTCCAACACCTTAGGAAACCCTTAATTACACGTGTTGACTGAATGCAAGGCAGGTGTGCAAGTTTCCAGAGAACCCTTGCCATCACAGTTTCTCCAAAAAGCAGCTTCTTTTACGCACTTTGGAACCCAGGCAAGTATTGCATGTAATTTAAAGAAGTCTGCTTCATTTACTTGTTCCATAACTATGCTTAAGGTATTTTTAATTCATATCAAAAACACATTCCACAGACTGAGCAGCCACTCAGCCCTACGTAGCTGGTCAGGATGTGCCTTCAAGGAAGCAGTTAGCTCCACGCTCTTCAGTCTTCCCACTTCACAGCCAGAACCTGTGCCAGCTAGGCACATTCTACTTGAAAAAAACCAACAAATCACCTTAATCACCTCGTTGAGAGAAATGACAAGATACCTTTGCTGATCTGTTCAGCTTTTATGGTGGTAGCGGTAAGTCTGAAAAACTGCACAAAAGGAAGAAAGCAGGCAGGGGAAGGTAAGAATCTCCTCATGAACTCCCTGTTATGCCTCAAAGAGGTGGTGGCATTCCTCCACAAACACCTGGACACGGGATGCTGAAACCAGAGGCTCTCAGTGCTGCTGATGCAATGAGCACAGTGCAGTTATACTGCAGGGCAGCCACAGCCAGACAAATACAAACGCCTGCTGAAGCACTTAAGCCATCTCTTCTGACCTCATTCAGCCTCAATAAGAAAACAAGTAAATAACTACTGTAGAAAGTATTCCTTTTTTTTGGTTTTTTTAAACTTGCCTTTGGGTCGTTTGCATCAAACAGCCCTGTAGAGAGTCCAATCAACAATGAACTTTTGCCTTTATTTTTTGCTGGTGATATGGAACGTGAGCGAGGTACGAAAGGCTCTTCCTGTGAAGACTGAGCTGACAGAGCTGGAGAGGCTGTTGGTGCGGCCGGGGGCTGCAGCACCCTCTGGAATAAGGGCTCAGGTTGCTGGCAGTCACTGGAACAAGTTTCTGATATGGTAGAAGAAAGTCTGTTAAAAATCTAAATAGATTAAAACGCCCAAGATCTTAAGCAAAAGGCAAACTAAACAGAATAAAACTAACTGATTTCTCTTATACAGTTAAAGCACTGTAAGATTACTAAAATCTCTTTGGACTATTTTAGTAAATACATTATAATGTGAAGTTCTCCCATTTTAACTTTTTGAGAACAGCTATAGCCCACTCTGTTCTCATGCCTTCCAGTTTCTCATTATTCCAAAGCCTTAAATTATCCTTAAATTATGGTGTCATCCATTTCATCTGTTGTTTCTTGCCTTATATTAGGTTTCTTCAAGGTTACCTCAATATAATTTGCCCAAACACTGGGAAGAAGTCCTAGTCTGCTTAATCCACCCATAAATAGCTGCCAGAGTACCGCTAATGATACTTGACAG